ACACAATTTGTACTTTGTATATGTATTTGTACTTTCCGATAACAGCAAACCCAAAGTCTTCTAAATCCTGTTAGTTGTGTTGGCATAATTAAGAACGCTATCTGGTTTCTACCTGATACTATCTTTACATCTATTAAAAAATATCTAACAAGTAAATGCCTTCAGCTAAATTCCTTTCTGTTTCAGCCTTTTCTTAGTGTGCCGCCGAAAGTACTGTCGGCTCCTTAATATATTCAGCCTTTGCTTTTTATACCCTGATCACATTGAAAATGGAAAATCAAGGTATAACGGTTTTGTTAAAATGTTTGTAACAGGCAAGAAGAGGTGTGACAAACAGTAAATTTTTTGCATATATTCGTTGTAATGTCGGTTTATGTTTTTTTTTTAATGCTAGTTCCAAACTATGAAAAATATTTAAAAAAAATGAGAGAACTGGGGTGAGGGTATCTCCTAGTCGGACACCCCGACTAGAAGCTTTCTTACTTGTTCATTTTATAATGTTTGTCATTTTGAAGGCACCGTGTTGCCATTGTTGTTGTTATTATTGTTGCTGTTGTGGCTATACTTATTGTTGCTGCTGATGGTGATTTAGCTGCGTGTCGTGCTCGTTTTGCATGTAAATTTGCTGCCTAATTTCGGGCGGTTGGCGATTTATGTGCTTCAAACACCCTCGCTACCTCTCTCTCTCTCTTTCTTTTTCTATCTCTCTCTCCCTCTTCTCTTTATCTTACTCTCTCTCTCTACTCTATGTTTGGTTCTTTGGCAATTTATGAATTTGCATCATCAACACTCACGTCTTTAGCTGGCACAGCCGTTGCCGTGCCCTTTGCTCATTGACATTTTGAATGATTTTCAATTTTACTTATGACATAAATTGTTAATAAATACAGCTGTCGTACTCTATCACTCTCCTACTCTTTCTCTCTTTCACACTCACATCTTGTTCTCTTTGCTCGCTACGTGGTGTGCGTTCCTCCCTCCGTAGCTTATGATTAATGCGAGGCATAAATTAAATGCATTGTAAATAAATTATTAAGCTTACGCCGCGTTGTCGGCAGCTACTAATGAAGCTGCTGGCTATTTTAACGCCCGCCCGACGGATATACACACACGTAGGCTCGTAGTATAAAAAGGTCTAAAAACTTTGCTCAGCTGGCGCTAAAAAGCAAGCTAACGGCAAAATGTGTGTGAAACGGTTTTTGGACTCGGCTTAGCTTGATTAAAATTTCATTAACTAAAAGTTGCGGCATATTTTAAAGCATGTGTGTGCGAAATCTGCGGTATCTCTGCTGTTCAGCTGTTCACACACTCACCCACACACATTCGCACTCACTTGTTCTTTGGCACACATAAAACGTTTTTGTTGCTTCTCCCGGAGTGCTTACTCTTCTTCTTTTTTGTCGCTCTTCCCCCGCTGCACTCTGCTCTTTTTTGTGGCGCTGGCTTTGTGCGCTTGAACGCTTCGTTTGCTTGCCAACTGCCTGCTGCCTGTTCAAGCAGCTGCCAGTATGTGCGTGTGTATGCGTGTGTACGTGTGAGTGGCTGTTAAATTGCTTGTTTATATTTCCAGCGCAAGTTTCAAACGTGGTCGCAGCAATCACTTGAAAATACTCATATGATTTTGATTTGTTTTAATTTGGGTGGCAAAAAGAACAAAAAGAACTTATTTTTACCACCCTCTCTCTCTCCACACCTCTGCATTTGTTTACTTTATCTGTAACAACAGTCGCAACAGAAGCAGTAGAAGTTCACTTTGTTTACTTTATATACATGTTTTTTTTTTTTGTATATTTTGAACCCATTGAAAGCGAAATCAGGGTATAATGGCTTTGTTAAAATATATGTAACAGGCAAAAGATGGCGTGGCAGACCCCATACAAGGAAGAAAAAAAGGCCGCGGCAGGTCCCATAAAGTATATACATTTTTGATCAGGACGACAAGCAGAGTCGATTTTGGGAAGACGGACAAGGCTCATACATATATTTTAACAAAAGCATTTTACCGTGATTTTCCATTTCCATTTCCATTTCCATTTCCATAAAGTATATTGTATAACGTATATATTCCCAATCAGAATGACAAGATGTGTGTATATAGCTAGCTCTGTCTGTTCACGATTCCTTCTGCTTCTAACTTAATTTAAAATAAGTGTAAGTTCTCGCTCAAACATGTCTCAGGAGCTCTGCTGGAGTTATTAGTGACTTACGAGTGACTTTTAGGTATAAAAGGGCGCATCAGCGGCTGTGGGCGATCAGTCAAGTTCATGACGTGGACTAGGTCAGTCGTGTTGAACAGTTCAGTGCAAATAGTGAATAAATTTGAGTTTTTTTTTGTTAAATATTTTAAGTGTAAATAAGTTGTATTTCTTTAATAAATATTGTGTTTGTTTAAATAAATTTGATAAAATAAATATATAACTGTTTAAATGTTAGAAATATGTAATTTTTAGTATCTTGGTTATGTGATTATTACTGCAAATTATTATTAACGATAATGATCATTAGCTGTATCTTTTTTCATCATAATTTTCGTTATGCTAATTAAGCTAAGATACATATAAGTAATATACATGATAACTATAAAAAATATTAAAAAACGCAGAAAGGTCTTGGTTCAGGATATCTGCTAGTCGGGCACCCCGACTAGAGCTTTCATGCTGGTTGTAAATATTTTTGTTGGTTAGGCTGTTGATTTTATTACGCAAATGTTGTTTGGTCTCGTTCACTCACTTAGCCAAATGAGCAAATTTATTATTTAATGAGCTCTTGTTTGTAGCAGCTGATACCATATTATGCTAAATTGGGAAATAATTGTTGAACTTAAGAGAAATGTATGCAAAACGCGTCATACATTTTACCTGAATGAAAGACTGATCTATTCTTTTATAAATCAATATATTTTTTTATAAAAGCATTCAGACCTAAGCTGTAGCTGAGTCACTTAAATTTGATTGTTAAAAATTTTAATTTTATACTTTGCTTTGTTCCCTCTCTCTGGAGATTAAAAGCATGTTCGAAATGCAGTTATTAAATAACATTTCGTATGTGCTTGAGCTAGATCATCCAAATTGTATATGTAGTTTTATGTATATTTGTATTGTGACGGTGTTGATAGAAGCAATGCAGTTTTTATTTGATTTTTTATTAATGCTTTATACAAGCTAATTAAAATATGAAATAGGTAGCACTGGCAAAAGAGTATCACTTAGTCGGGCACCCCGACGAGAGCTTTCTTACTTGTTCACTTATCAACCTGTCACGTACAGCGCTTGAAGCTGGCCAAGCATCGACTTAACTACACGCCATAATTATAATGCCAACATCAGCGTTAATTTAACCCAACCCCAGCTGAAATCCGCTCTTCAGCTCAATGCTGCTCGGCTGCTGCTAATCCACTTCAGCCAGCGACTCATACCCAAAGGCATGTCAAGCATTTAATTACTGCCCATCACAGGAGCTTAAAAATGTTTCCAACTGCCTTTGCTGCTGCTGTTGTCCTGGAAAATTCAGTTTGTTAAAATAATATGAGGCAGGCGAAAGGATGCGGCATATTCGTCAACATTTGCTGCTCTTTTTCTGTTCGCAAATGTTACGCAAAATATTTTCATTAAAATGTCAAAAATATATATATACATATATATCTGCAAATATTGTGCGCAGACACGCAAAACTGGTCGCCAAATAAAGAAAGAAAATTAAGGGGAAAATGGGGCGAATGGAAAAAGGTTTCTATTTGTTAAAGCGCTCAACGTGCAGAGGCCAGAGCATTTGTTTTCTGCTCTGACCCGGCATATCGTCGAGAGAGTCGTTAAATTGTTTTCATTATCCTTGTAAGCCTTGGCCAGAGCGCTCTGTGGGCTGTGGTAAGAGCAGAGACTGAGAGAGGGAGAGCTTTAGCCCGCTTGCTTGGGTTGCCTGGCAATTAAAACCGCAATGCAAATGAGCTGTGCTTAATGCGTTTGTCTGCGTGTGACTCTGTGTGTGTGGGTATATATATATATATATATATATATATATATATATATATATGTATAAATATATATATATGTATAAATATATATGTATGTGTGTGGATGTCTGCGTTTATACACTGTCCTATTAGTTTGCGGTGCTGGCGCACAAAAATTTTAATTGCGCTATAGAAGCTCAGCTCTTACATTCTCTCTTTTCTTTTGTCGTTCTCTCCCGCTCTCTTTCTCTTTACTCTACTCTTCTTTTTTTTTTCTTATTTTCATCCATAATTTTGTGCATAGCGCTTAAGCAGCCCATCAAGTGCGTGGCTAAAGTCAAAATGTGCTTCAATTTGTAGCATCACACACACACAAATGTATGTGTATCGGCTTGCTTTGCTGTGCCGTGTTTCCGTTTCATTTGTAATTAATTAAATTACTTCCGCTTAAAGTGTGCTGCCAACATGGCGCTGTGGTCCATGCTGAGACGGTGGCTGCCCAATCTCAAATCCAATTCAGAGTCCGGGCCACCGATTTCTCAATTACGACGCTGCAGTCAATCCGCCTCTCTCTCTCTCGCCCTCTCTCTTTCACTCTCTCTTGCCCTTGCTCTGTCTCTCTTCTGCTGTGTTCATTGCGAAGTAATTAAGAAGACATTTCACCCGGGCATTCTTTAATCTGTGCGTTTTATTTGCGTCCTTTTGCCAGAACTTGTTGTTTTCTTCGTCGCACGAATGCACCCGATTTCAATGTGTATGTGGTCCTGGGCTGTTGTAGGGTTTTTGCCGTGAGCTTGTGGCTCCTGCTGATGCGCCTTTAATCTGTGGCATTGGCTTTGGGCTAAACTGGTTGTTATTTCTTGCCCAAGCGCTCGCTTCATTAGTCGCCTAATGAAGTGTTGATCATGGGCGTCTAATGATTGCCACACACACAGACACACATGCACATACACATGCCAACTTACACTTTAAAGTAATTTTTGATTAAATTTTAATGCATTTTATATATATATATATATATATATATATATATATCATCCTTGTTTTGCAGCTCTAAACGTGGCCCACTAACTGTTCAATGAAAAGTATGGTTGCCAGCGAACCAGCGTGAGTATAAATTCCCACTAACTAACGTTTGCCTTTCACTTTCATAAGCTGAAGCACCCTAAAAGTATGCAACATAAAAACGGCCAAAAGGCCAAAATCCCCTTTGACGTATTTGATGCGATTTCGATGGAAATCGAATTAAAGCAAGCAAAAGTTTGCAATAAATAAAAACCAATACAAAATATATGTAAATTGCTATAAAAAAACAACATTAACAACAACAACACTAAACGCTTTCTCCCTCTTTCACTTTATATTTACATGGATATTTTCGAACTGCAATACAATTAAAATTCAACTGAAATTGGCTCAAACTAACAAAAAAAACTACAAACGGAATCAAAAAATTGGCAACTAATTGGTAAAAATGTTCAACTGTGAAATTGGCCAACAAACAACTATAACGAACAACACTGTCTCACTATAAACAACCTATCACAAAATCATATTAACAATAAACAAATAAACAAAAACCAACATCATCATCATCATCATTATCATCGTCATCCAAATCACGCAAAAATCCTGCTATTTATGCGCTTTACATTTTGTGACGTCATTTTTCTGCGACCCCTGACCAATCGGAACGCCTCCAAACAACCCCTGTGAACCCCTCTAATCCTGCTGCCCACTCCAATCCGTTGTCGCCCGTATTTATGTGCATTTTTGAGGCTTGCCCCACTACCAACATTTTCATATGCGTTTTCATTTTCGCTTTCTATCTCGCCTGACTCCCCCAATTTCACATTTTGTTTATACTTCACGCTTTCGATTTTGCTTTGGTTTTTCATGCTTTTTTTTGCTTTCGTTGCCAATTTCCGCTTGAATTAATTCTGTGTTTAAATCTGCGTCGTTGCCCTGGCACTCGTCCTGCTTCCTTCTGCACGTCCTTCGCGCCTGCAGTTAGGCTGAAGTAGCGCGCGACCCCTGTGGCTAGTAGAGAATTTAATAAAAGGCAGCCACTCCAACTGCTCCACACTGTGCATATCTCTCTCCCACATCCTGGTTCGTGTGGGTGGGTGCTTCTGCCGGCGAGAATCACACGCAGTGCGACAAAAGCCGCCCGCAGCGTTTTTTATATGCGCGCACATAATTCAAAAACACTGCAGAAGTTAATGCCCAGAAGCGACGACACACAATGATAACCAACAATAATTTGGATTATGAAAAGAGCTGTCTGCCCATGGCGGCAAGAGCAACAGCAACAGCTGCAGCAACGGTAACAGCAACAGCAAATACAGCGGCAACAATTGCCAGCGGCAGCAGCAACAGCAATGGCAGCGCCAGCAGCAGCAACAATTCATCGCCCACCGCTGACAATCACAACAACACCCACTCTAATTCTAACTCCAACTCAAATTCGACCTCAAACTCGAATTCAAACTCGAATTCGAATGGTAGCTCGTACTTTAATCGCTTTGACAACCGCATTGCTGCCAATTTGGCAGCAGTTATAACCGGCGCACGCTTTCGCTCATCTTCCTGCAACAGTCGCCAGCAACCGACGCAGCAGCCAGTTCTGCAGCACACGGCCCGCACTTCGTACCACTACTTGAGTGCCACACGTGGCAGATCCACATTGAACAGCGCCACGCCTACATCGCCAGCCAGCCTGGGCAGACGGCGACCATTGCATCTGTTCAGCCAGGCAAATCTGAAGTGAGTAAACCACTCTGCGAGCCCAAGCCCTATCCAAAAGCTTAATCATGCTCATCACAACACAGCGTTACTTGAAACACTTCACACCTCCAGCACACATTGTTCAACTAAGATACAGTTTACTATAGTATGCATATATTTAACAGCTGCAATGATAACGAAAAGGTGGCGCAAACCCCGAGTTCAGATGAGGATAACTCACCCACAGAGCTCAACAGTTGCAAGCGGCTAACGGACAAACCTCCACTGGTATGTAAAACCGAAGAGAAACCCAATATAAGGTTAAGGGAAACATCTTCACGTTACACTCAGTTATCTTCAACTAACACCCAAGAAATCTCAACACCAAACATGTCTGAATTGTTTATTTGCATGTTGAGAGTGTATTTGAATTTTTTCGTCAAAAGAGTAAGCTATGCCAGAAGACCTCTCTAATTATAAGTTATGGATTGTAAAACTCTGTAATATATATCTTAGAATTATATATAGATATAGCATCTTCCTATTATTGTTCAGTTATAAGCTAGTTTCTTAATTTGGAAGTAAGTCTTAAGCTATCATTCAAGACAGTCCATTTGTTGTGTGCCTGTATTAATCTGTGTGCTCATATAAGAAAAACAATTTAGCTTTCCTGATGTATTAACTTGAATTGATATGTTTCCTTTCGAGCTTTCAGATTATAAACTAAATCTGATCAAATTGCCCAAATGAATCGAGATACAAGTTGTTGATAGAGTATCCCCATAAGATTCAGTCAACAATACTAAAGACTGTGCCAAACTATACCTAAAAGACTTTATGACTTGCATATATCTTCTATTTTTCATCCTTAGCTTAGTGGTCTTATATCTTTAAGCATATTTAGTCATCGTCAAATAATGCTTTTCCTTTTGTTCTTCTTTGGGTTTTTCCATTTCGTCTTATGTTTTTTGATCAAAGTACTCTAGCTGTAACCCCTCACCCTTCATGTCGTCCAGCAAAGCCGCCCCCTTTGTCATGCCGCCTTCAATCATTGCATATTTGATATGTTTGTGTTTTGACTTTGATAAGGGTGCTTTCAAGTTCGGCAACTGCGGCCATTTATTGGTTTTTTTTCTATCTTCTTATTGTCATACGCAACTTTTTGCGCAAATATTTTCAAAATTTATGAATTCTTCCCAGAGTTTGTTTTTCATTGTTTATTCTGATGCATTTGACGCTTACTATAAATTATTAGCAGAAATAAAAGAGAAGGAAATAAAAGGTATAAAGGACATCAAAAGCGTTGGTCTAAGAGCAGCTAAACCTTTTCGCCTATACTGCTCCTTTCGCCTTTTTATGTAACTTGCCACAAGTTTTTTGGGAATAAAAAAAAAAATTTTGTGGCAACTTTTGAAGCATTTCAAAATATATTGCTGGAGCAGAGGCCCTTGCTCATTCTTATAGAACAGTTGCTATCATTTGGACACACTGACAGAAGTAGACAGGGTATACTAGTTTTTACGTGAGTTTTGTAAAGTATTTCAATTTGAGAAGACAAGGCAAAGATATAGTCATTCAAGAAGATCCCGTAGTAAAACTTGATATAGAGTATTCCAACTTTGCTATGGCAAAAGGTAAGCGTTCAAGCTTCAACAACGTATATTTCGTGGCCATTATCATAAGGCATGTGTGAGCGGGTAGAACTTTGATCTGCTCCACATGTGCAATGTTTATCAAATGTTTTGTCATTTCATGGTTTTTTTCGTCACGTGTTTCCCGGCCCGAGGATATGGGGAGCCAAAAAACTTTGCATTGCACAAGTTTGCTTCTGCTGGCTGCCGGCTTGGCCTTCAAGTTCGACTTCGAGCTGAGTTGAGGCACGTTGTTTTCATAAATTTGACGCCTTAAATATTCATACCATAGGACAGGCTACACACATACACACACATCGTCGTAGCTATAGTGAGGCAGCTGGGCTCAGTCGAGCATAGTCTATGCGATAAGTACGTGCGAGTTTATTCATATGAGAGACTCTTAGAAGAGACTCCACATCGCCTGCTCCCATGTGCTGTGAGCACGCGGCGTATGCGTAATGTGTTTGTCTTATTTATGGCCCGATTGCTACGGAGGCGCATTATGATGATTACGTTTTGAGCTAATGGCCCTTAAATGGAGCAAAAGTGCAGGGCAGCCAAACTCTTAACAGCCACAAACTCAATTCCAAGGCCATGTCACACTTTCAACCCGCCAAAAGGAACAGAAACATTGAAATTCTGCAACGCGCCCAAATCGAAAGCGAAAACCAATCAGTTGGCCCTAATGGTAAGCCATAAATATTGTCAGCATTCCTCCCCAAAAAAAAGCCAAATGCAAAACGCTTGACTCAAGGACATCAACAAAAAAACCAGAAAAAAAAAACAAAACTGAAGAAAAACATATGGTGGAGTAAAACAAAAAAAAAGGGTTCAGCACTTTGCTTTGGCATTTCTTATATTCGTTTTTTATACGCTGCTCAATAAGTTCAAATTGGGAATATTGGTTCTATATGAAATGTTAGAATTGCTTAACTTAAGCTACTTACTCTGTGGAATACGAAAAAACTTAAATGTTCCTTTCTAGCTTAGCATTTTCAAACATGACTTTAGAGCATAACTAACCCTTTACAACTTCTTACAGAGTATAGCTTAGTCGTTAGTCATTCGCCTGTTGTTTTGTCAATAAATCAATTTTTGTTATAAACATAACACGCATACGCCACGTGGAGACCGCATATATTGCTATTGCTCTCCTCCCTCGCTCTGCCCTATGCATAGTTCTTTTTTACAATATGTCTGCTGGGTGCGCTGTCAATAACATCATTTTGTGGCAGGGTGCGGCTGCAGCGCGATAAGCAAATTAATTTTTGTAGCCAACACTCACACGCACACACACATAGAGGCAGTGGGTGAGCCTGGCAGCGACCCTAATTGTGCCCGATGGCAAAGTTGGCGTCCTCGTCGTCTGCTTGGCTGCCTGATTCAATTTCAGATAAGCAAAATAAAGCAGCAGACAAGTTGCACATGCAGCCGGGCCTGGCCAAACCAATCGCGGAGTGAAGGCAGCAAAGACAAATGGACGTTGGCACATTATGCACTTCACCCGCATAACGGGACACACAGAGTCTGTCTTCGTATATGCCGGAAATGATGCGCTGTCTGTCGCCTGATCCTTGTTGCCCTCTGCTGCCGCTTCTTCTGGCACTGCTGAAATGATGCTGTTGACTCGCTGCCGCTAAATGTTTGTTTAGTAACTGCAACAGCAACTGCTCCACACTCAGAGCTAAGAGTCGAATATAACGTTTGAAGCCGCCTCCATTTTGCTGTCTGACATTGAGCGACAGTCGGTAGAGCCACATGTGGCCGGCGCTTGTCACGCCCACTTGCATATCATACGTTTCCCATAAATAATATTTTGTAGACCCGCCCATCACAGGCCACACAGCACGGTCCCTCAATCTGTTGCCTGATTTAAGCGTACCAACATTTCTCTCCCTCTCTCTCCCTCAGCCCGTTACAGTTTATTAAATTTGCATAAATGTTTTGGGTTGCGGCAGCTGCACGTGCCACCTACTGAGGCAAGGACTGACTGGCAACAGCTGATGCCAAATGTCCCGACTCTGCCAGTTCATTAAGCCAACAACATACCAATTAGTCTGGCGCACATTTTCTGTATGGCCAGCAAATGGGAAATTTAGAGAAAAACACAAATCAAATTCCAATTTTTGGCAACAGCATTTCATAGACATAACTGAGCAAAAGAAATTTACTAAGAGTGACGGATCTTAACTTTTAAGAGATTCAAAAAATAAGTTTCATATAATAAGACTACATCGAATATTATAAAGAACAATTCCTAATCTATGCATAAGATTATATCAGGAGATCGGAGACAGTTATGTTGAGTCAAGCAGACAAGCAAAAAAATGTAATCTAGTCCGCATCAACATCTAGCCAAGACAAAAGCTGTAGCATAGCTCACTCGTGCGAGTTTGTGTGTGTCTTCGATGTACAGTGTAAATTGCGTTAAAATGAGCTTCGTACAAATTAAATCAGTGTGCAATGCCCTGTGAAATATGCAAAGAATGTTTGCTTAAGCAGCCTAAAAGTATGCAACGCTCGCGTCTGCTAAATTATGCAGCAATGAGCAAACAATTGCTGCCAGCTAGTCAGTTAGTCAGGTAAGCGTGGAAGGCAACAACGAATGGAAACGCCACAGTCGTCTCATTGTCAATGTCGCCTTAAACTATGCCACACTTACACACACACACCTAGCAAGAGCGTACACCTGTAGTTTACTTTCAGGTGCAGCCATTCTATACAGCCAGACAGACTTTTCAAAGCCACTGACCCCAAAAGAAATATAAAAAAATGAAATATAAAAAAAGTGTGGAAATATATTAGTGGGAAGCGCCGAAGTTAATATACTCTTACAAAAATGTTTGCATGTATAACAAGGAAACTGATATAACAATATGTCTAGAGCTAATTTGTTGAAATTTAAGCAGATTCGAATGATACAACTGTACATTGAGATAAGGAAGTAAGCTAGGGCTATATATAGAATGGTTCAGATTGATTAAAATACTCATATATATCGGGCTAGACTTAAAAAATAAGACAATAACTCATATATATCAGCAATACTTTAACAAAGATACATTTTTTTTCTATAAAACATATCAGCAATTATATTTTGAGCAGGGGAAACGTATGTCTTGGTTATCTAGCTCGAACTTATACCAATAAAGAGAACAAAAATATCTTCTCTTTTTGTCTAAGCTAAAAATAAGCAATATTACTAGTTTCTGATTCATATAGGTTCTATATAACCCAGTTCAAGCAGCTATCCCCGTACAGTCTTTCAACAATTTCTTTGAAGACTTACATGCTGCCTGCCATAGTCAATGTTCCGTTCACTCTATGGCCACGCAGGCGTTTGCTAACATGATCTCAACATGCGCGCACAAGTGCAGCTGAATTATCGCCGCCTGTTCTCAGTTTCCTTTATACCCACACAGTTGTTCTCTCTGTTCAGTCTCCTTCTCGCTCTGTCTTCTTCTCTGCCATTTTTTCTTGCCACTGGTAGTCCTGCGGCACATTTCCGCTTAGCCACTTCCGCATCCTCCGCATTCGTTGCTTGGCTACATTTTAAGCATCCTGCAACTGCGACTGCGAAAGCGAATGCGAACGCGCCTCCTTCTCGCAGTTGTCCTTCAATTTATGCGGCAGCCTCTTACGGCCCAGCCCTTTTTCATAGGCAAAGACTCTGCTCCGACTAGTAATTCCTAGCCCAAGCATCCGCTTCCTGTTTAAGTGCAGGCGCATAAAAAGTTTTTCTGCCAAGCTTTTTGTCTAGTTGTGGTTTTTGGTAATAAATTCTTGTACGCTCTTCGTTTTTTTTTTGTTTTTGGTTGTCTGCGGCACGCCCACGTTCGCCTTCTGGTGCAGCTTACAAGGTGTTTAAATTGTAGTTAATTTTGTTGCCGGTTGAATAAGCAGCTCCTTTAAAGCCCTTCTCAACTACCTCATTCACAGGTTAAGCGCTTGACCATGGGTCTGTTGCGCCACAATGAGGAGTCACGCCCACTGGTGGCCAACGTAATGCCCCTCAGTGCAGCTGCATTGAAAAGCGAAGATGCCGGCCAGCCCATATACTCGAATGGTTACATCAATGAGGACTCGTACATCGATAGTAAATTTGGCGACTCCTGTCGTCAATCTCTGACTGCCATACCGATGCTGGACAATGTGAATCTCAATAATGACAACAGCGAGTTCAATCTAAAGAAGCGCTATTTACGTGAAACCAGCAGCGGTAAGAGAGGGAGAGAGATTGAGATAAAGACAAGCTATGCTCTGATCTACATCGAGTTATTGTTCTGTAATATTCTCCCCACAGCAAACTCCAGTCCCAAGATCTTTGCCAATCGCCTGCGTTTCAATAATGCTTCAGCTGCAGCGGCGGCTGCTGCTGCCAGTTTGGCAGCCAATCAGCGCAGTAGCAGCTTGGCCAACACGCACACAAACCGAGATGACGAAGACGAGGAGTCAGATACAGAGCTTAAAGCAGCCAGCTGGTATCAGGCGGGCATCTCACGTGACATTGCAGTCGAGGTGCTACAGAACAAGAGTCCAGGCGCATTCCTTGTGCGAAAGAGCAGCTCTAAGCCCGACTGCTATGCGCTGACTCTGCGCGTGCCATCGCCACCCGGACCCAAGATAGCCAACTATATAATACTGCGCTCGTCGCGTGGCTATAAGATTAAGGTAAGATTTTCCACATCTAATAAAACTATTTAACTTAGCAGCGGTTATCATTGAAGGGCTTTCGCAAGGAGTTTTCCAGCTTAAAGGCACTGATAACCCATCATTCTGTTATGCCGGAGTTGCTGCCCGTGCCCCTGGCCATGCCTAGGCCCACGAACATGTCCTCTTCGCGACGCAATCTCGATGATTTCGATACCTATGACTCGCTGCAAATGCTGCTTAAGTATTTGCGTGCCAAGAATCTGGAAGCGGAACAGTAGACGTGGAGAGAAAGGCAGCCTCAGAGAGAGACACAGAGTATCTCCAAATCATGTCATCAACGGAGCATAAAATATAAATTTCGATACCAAAAAATGTGATACTCTATTAAAAACAAAGCACACACATACACATAACGACACAAAGTATACACTATATCTAACTGCAAATGAAACGCCTAGCTGATAAATGGTGAAAATAATTCTAGTTTAGTTCGGCATTTTCTTTTTGGCCAAAGGAAAAAGAAAAAGCAAAAATGTGAAAATATGAAAATATGAAAAGCGCTTTAAGTTACACTACAACCAACTTTCCCTATCATAAGACTAATGCTTACCAGATTTTATTTGATATTCATTTATTATTTTCCATCTAATTAACATTCCAATTCGATTTTCCATTGCGCAAAACCTGGCAAAAAAAAAAAAAACAAAAAGAACAACTAATAAATAATTAATTAAAAATTGATATATATGTATTAAAAATTATATGTTAAATGTTGTTGCTGCTTCAATTGTTAAGCATAAATAAATTTACTAAGCAAAAATTGAATATTTTAAATTAAGATAAACAAATTCAGCAAAAACGACCCCAAATCTGTATATAAAGCACTAACTTAACATAATTAAACTAAATAAAGTTATTTAATTTATATATAAAAAGAAAAACCAAACAAAAACAAGTGAGAAAGGTCTAATCGGCGTGCCCGACTAGGAGATACCAAGTATTAATTATTAAAATTCAAATAAAAAACGACATTTCGACACCAAGATTCGAGCCAACGTTGCCTACGTAACGCACATCAACTCTACCAACACCGCCCTTCATGATTGAAATATGCTACGCCTCCTTCTGCATTTTACATACATTTGTACAAAACCATTATATCCTGATTTCCCATTTTCGTTGGGATCAGGGTATTAAATAGCAACTGCAATTCTTTTCATTTTAATAATATTTATAATCAATTTCTCATTGTACAATTTGATGCACAGCAGCCGGACGGTGAAATAAATTTTCACACGTTAATTATGCTTTGGCCTGCCGAATTTTTTTTTTTTAAATAATCGTTATTCTAAATGGAATTTAAAGTATTCGGCATTTGCATTTATGAATACTATAAATTTATGCAAGATATGAAATTGTTTCCTAGTTTCACACATCGATTATTATTATTATTACCTTACTACACCTACCTAGAGTACTGAAAAATATTTATATATATTTCCATAGTTAATCTGAGGAAGTTAGCAGCTCTATAATTAGCTTACATGTATCACTTGCTATCGGCTTTAGCTCGCGGCAGCTGTCGTGTCTTAGTTATGGCTTACTTTACAAATAAAAGGCTTTGAAACTCAAATTCTTATATGGTTGATGTATAGCAAAACTTAATCAATTTTTAGCTTAAGCAGATTGCATACCAGAGACCATACAGAAGTAATGCATAGACTAAAGCCTCGAGAATTGTAAAACCAATTCAAATCAACACACCTTGAACAATTTTAGAGCCAACAGCCATATTTTATTATTATAAATATTTTATTATTATATGTTAGCTTAAGCTTACAGCCAAATAATTTTAAAGCCATCAGCCATATTTAACTATATCGCTCAACAGAGTAAGTATTGGCATATTTCAAACCTTATTTTATGTATTTCCAATACGTTTGTATTTTGCATCTTTAAAAAGAAATTCACAAAAAATGATAACATCTGTTAAGCGGCACTCGACTGGCTACTGTCAAGTCGCTGCGCAAGTTGTGTGGGACAATTTGGACGGCGTCCTTTGTTGGCCTAATCATCGTCATTATACAATTTTAATTTGCTCAACTTTTAATCGAAAAGCAAAAAAGGGCAAACTGGTTGGCTGCCTCTGGTACGGCTAGAAATCAAAGTATCGGCCAGGGGCAGGAAATCCCTTTTTTAATTGCAAGCTCGAACACTTGAATTTTCTTGCACTCAAAACTTGGCGGCAAATCCTTTGCGCTGTGCGAAAAGTTTGTTGAGCCAACAGCGATTTCTTTTTCCCTGATCTTTTTCCTTTAGGTTTGCTTTGTGCTGTGCTTTTTTGCTTACTTAGTATCAAAGTGTTCTAGACTTTTTTCAGTTTTTTTGGGGTTTACTTTCATGTTGCTGCCAAATGAAAGAATTGCGCTTTGTTGCAATTATCGGGCTGGCTACACACGAATGCGTGCGTAAATATAAAGTGAAATTCTTAGAAAACATTTAAATAATTGTCGAATTGGCAGCCGGACTCAGGCATTTGGCCCACTAAGCAGCCTAAAGTTTTCATGAGCGCGACTTTTTGGACAAAGTTTTCAACTTTTTTATTTGTTGTGAATTGTTGAGTTGCTTGTTGTTGTTGTTGTTGTTGCAGATACCAGTCGTTTAATGCGGATGTTTCGGACAACTTTGCCGTTAAATATTTAATAAGACAAAGTGGCTAGAAAATAACAACAGCAACCAATTATGAACCAGCGTCCGCTACTCCTTACAGCTCGTAAGTGGTTTATATATGTCCTTAAATGACCATATTTTTAATTGAACATTTTCCAATCGTACCGGCGCCATTTGCGTAATGAGCGCTATTTGCTGACAGGCCCAAAGGACAATGGCGAATAACCAGAACGAAGGGACGTCTCTTCACATTTGTATTATTTACGAACATTCTTTTGCATGCCTCCCTATCTCCCCTATCCTCTCAGTCTGTCTCTCTCTTCACATTTATTGCATTTCTTTGTCAGCTCCTTAACAGTGGAGCATCCTGCCCTTCTCCGTACAGATTTTCCCTTTAAGCGTGAACAATGGCGAAAATTATTGCTCGGTTATTTGCGCTGCGTTTTACCCATTTGTCGGCAGCAGTCGCCTTTTGTTGTCGCAGCTCAGAGAACTGCAAGATTTTTCCCATTTTTCCCTTACATTTGAACTTTTTCATTAGGCTAATTAAAAATGTTTGGATGTGGCAGGAGTTGCTTTTTGACGCTGTCTTGAACGCTCTCTCCCTTTTCTCTTTTTTTTGGTTTGGTTTGCTGTAACACATGGCGTATGCGCGTTGAGTGCTTTATGACTGCAAGGTAAACGCGGCGACAGACAACAACTTTTTATAACTTTTTATTTAAATGGATCCAAGTGCTGCAGGCAATGCTTTGTTAACCAAATTCAGTTTTGAATTGCGGCTGAAACTTGAAATGAATGAGAAAATCAACATTTTTTTGGAAATCGTAATTCATATGAGGGAATTACTATTTTATCAGCTTTAAGCTGGAAATCGTTTTCGAGTTTTAGCCGGATAATGATAATTTCTATCATATATATTAATATAATATTAATATTAGTTATTTTTCTAAAAGCACTCTTTGTCTTCTTATATAATTTATCGTAAACCCTTTAAATTCTTAGCTATCTAAGCTTGTCTGTCCAAAACCACCCATTCTCTCCTTTAAAAAATTTTAAGAATTTTCCTAAGCCTAGTTTGGGTACATCGAATGACATTTCTCTCTCTCTCTTTCTAGGTAGTCTCTTAAGCTCTTTAAAACTAAGCTTTTCAAACCCAATCAGCGCATATCTAACTAAACTAACTAAACTGTTTCAAGCATCCAAAACCTCTCAAAATGCAACTGACGCGACGCAACGCATTTTTGCAGACTTCAATTCAGCTAAAAACCACAGAACTGTCCAACATTTTACGTCCAACTTTGCAGGAGCCAAAAAAATATAAAAACTTTTGCCGAGCCCATTAAAAAAAAAGTTGTATACTTTGAGGCGACGCGACGCGACGCCTTTGCTGAGTTTAAGGCGACAATTTCGAGAGCTGCTCGGTTCGGAGGTTGTCATTAAAACTACAACAAAAGAGCTGCCAAAAAAGCGAGCAAAAAATGAATTACATGAGCGCAAAACAATAAAAAGCAACAGCCAAGCACTGCCCCTATCTTCCTGGCTTCCTCTCCTTGTTTTATATGTTCTCAGGAAGTTTTTTGGCAAGGATATTCTTAAGCGGCAGTAACAGTTTGGATGCAAACATTGTCTGGGGAAATGTTCAACTGTCAAAAGGAGCAAAAAATATAAACAAGTAAGAAACCTCTAGTCGACTACCCGACTAGGAGATACCCTGATCTCAGTTCTATCTCCGTTTTTTTTTTTTTTAATTTTTTAATAGAATATATCTAGTCTTAAAAAACAATCAATTTTTGTCGTCATTATCAAGAATATATGCACTTCATTAGGTCTGCCACGCTTCCTTGTGCCTGTTACACACATTTTAACAAAAACATTTTACCCTAATTTTCATTTTCAATATATATTTAAGTGGAAAATGCTAATCTTGTCTGGCACTTTGCCGTTTAAAGTGCTGGGTGCTTAAAGTCAAATTTCAGACAGTTAGACAGGATACCTCATTAATTTGCCATGATGCAACAATAACAATATCAGCTATTTGGCCATGCGACTTATTGAGTGCCAGATTTCATGGCCAATGCGGCAGAGCCGGGTCTTATGTCCAAAATCAACATCAACATTGACCCTGCAACTGATGCAGCTGCTGCTGCTGTTGCTGTTGCTGTTACGGTTGCTGTTGCTACTCTGGCATTGCCAAATATGTTTTTGTAGCTCTTTTGGCCAATTGGCAGTGTTGACCAATGGCCATAGGGCAATTGCATGCAGCAGACAAAAAGCTAAATGTCTACTGCCATATACACACATCTGCTGCGCATCTATTCCGCATCTCCACGTCTGCTGATTATGCCGCAATGTTTGCCAATATTAAGCTGGCTTTTCCACTGCTCCTCACGCTTCTCACTTGTTTACCTAACCCAAATTGCAAGCCATTGGAGAGCAGAAGTCAACGGGCTAGTGGCTGTAGTCAGAGCCAAGCCAATTGGCATATTGCATACGCATTCACATTTTGCATTTTGCATTAACTTTTCCATTTCAATGGCACTCGAAAGTTTTTCCAAACACTCTGCCACCAGCTGGTTCGATCAAGTAGCACCAAACAGAAATCCAGCTGAATTCAATACAGAAAAAAACAAACAAAAACGATGTAACTTACAACAAAACCTTTTGTCACTCGGTCGAGAGGTCTGTCGCTGTTCATGGCTAAGAGATGAAAGCTACAAAATCAGAGTAGTTAAAATGAACCTTTTAAGACACAAAAAAAAAGATTGACAAGAGAGTGAAATCCATATAAATATATATAACTAAGATAGATTAACTGTTGTTATTTAATCAGTTAATCAAACCTACATTTATAGACACAAGAATATATAATGTAGCTATGAAGAATCTATCCATTTGGTCTATATTTCTTCATAAAGTAAGCTGAAATCCAGCT